AGGAAAGAAAGAAATTGTTGAGGGAAGCCCCAGCATCCGTGAAGAGCCTCATCACTGCTCCTCTCTGTGGGGAAAAGAGTCACTCAGTTAGGAAACATGCAGGCAATGAGTTTAGCCGGCTCCCTGCCTGAGGCAGTGGACTCATGCTCACTGGTCTTACCATGTCCCTCACCATCTGGAAGCAGCTGGACCGACAGAAAGGTGGAATAGCCTTTTGAAGGTGCAGTTACAGTGCCAGCTAGATGGTAATAGCTTGCAAGGTTGGAGCAAGCTTCCCCAGGAGGCTGTACCTGCTTTGAATCAGGTCCACTGTATGATACTTTTTCTCCTAGAGCCAGGAGTCATGGGTCCAGGAATCAAGGGGCAGAAGTGGGAATGATATCACTCACCACTACTCTAGTCACCCACTAGCAAAATTCTTGCCTCCTAGCCCCATGACCTTGTGCTCTGCTGGCCTGGAAGTCTTAGTTGCAGAGGGGAAAAATTTTTTTACCAGGAAGCACAACAATGATTCCATCGAGCTGGAAGCTAAGATATCCGCATGATCATTTGGGGTTCTAATGCCTCTGAGTACACAGATAAAAAGGGAGTTAAAGTGTTGGCAGAGACAACTGATCCAGACTTTCACGGGGAAATCAGACTATTATTCCAAAACGTGGAAAGGAAGAATATATTTGGAATACAGGAGATCCCTTGGAACATCTCCTAGTACTGCATTTCCCCCAAAATAAGGCGTAACTGGAAAATAAGCCCTAGCACTCTTTTTTTCAGATACTCATAATATAAGCCCTACCCCCAAAATAAGCCTCAGTTAAGATCATCAGCCAAGCAGACACATTTAATATGTTCATTGCAACACCCAACAGACATACTGAAATATAAAATAGTGATGTCAATATATAAATAAATAATATTATCGACACTAATACTTCAATGATAATACAAATTGTAAGTAAGAACTTATAAATACCCAAGAGAGTGCCTTTGGCTAAGAGGTAAATGCCTATGTAAACAGGTGAACTTGAGACTGACTGCCGAATTACCAGCAGGAGTAGAGAACAATGCACAAACAACTTGCACCCTTGATAACCCACAGACATGACTGTACCTAATATAAATCTCCGTCATTCAATACATCCTGTGTTGTAATGGATGTGCTTTATGCACTCGTGTGAAATAAAGAAACGGTTTCTCAGTTTTGGTGCCTGCAATTCACCGTCACTTTTGTGTGGACCATCTTCTTAACCATCATTTTCGTTGTTACTCCTGTCTCAGGAGTCTCCTGTGAACACTTGATTCGGTGCAAACTCCATGAAGCCAGCCTGCAAGAGGCCGTGACGTGGGGGAGAGTTCATGGGCTGAAATCACCGCCTCTGTGTTGCCAGGGCGCTTGACCCCTACACGGACAAGGAGCGCGCGGTGAAGGAGAGCTCTAGCGCCGCCCATGAGCGGTTGGGGCCCACGCTTCTGCAGGAAAAGGAGTCGCAGGACATTCAGGCCTTCTCCCCCTGGCCAGAACTGGGGGTTTGGAGAGTTATAAGGATGTTTCAGAAGAAGACATGACTGTGTTTGAATAAATGTAGTTTTTTACACATGAATAAATACATGTAGATTGTAGTACATGAAAAATAATGCATCCCCTGAAAATAAGCCATATTACCTCTTCTGGAGCAAAAATTAAATAAGATCTGGTCTTATCTTTGGGGAAACATGGTAGCAGCACAATTCATCATACCCAGATCTTGAAAGCAGCCAACATGTTCATCAGAGGTGCATGGGTAAAGACAGTGTGCTATTTACACACAATGAAATGTTGCTCTGACATAAAGAAAGATAAACTTGGGTCCTCTGTGGGGAAATGGGTGCACCCTGAGACCATTGTATTAAGTCAAGTAAATCAGACACATGAGCTTAAATATCTCATGGTCTCTCTTCTATGAGAAACCCAAATCATAAATAAAGAGCAAAATAAAAGATAGATAATAGGAAGTAGAGAAATAGATCTTTTTCAAATGAGAAGGAGATCGAGAAACAGAAGGAATGAGAAGGGAGAGTGGGGAAAAGGGATGAAGAAAGAATTCAGATGCGTTACACATAGGTACCAGCTCCACACAAGGGTTGTCAGCATTATTAATTAAAAACATGTTTAAGGCAAGTAACAAATGCTGGCAAATAGATGAAGAAAAAGAACTCTTCCACTGTTGATGAGAATACAAGTTAGCGCAGCCTTTATGGAAAACAGCATGGAGATGTCTCAAAAAACTAAAAATAGAACAATACTGGGTATGTACCCAAAGGAGATGAAAGCTTTATACCAAAAAGATACCTGCACCCCCACATTTAATAGCGAAAATACATCAACCCAGATGACTTTCAGCAGATAAGTAAGAAGATGTGGTATAATAAATACAGTATATTATACAATGGAACTACTCAGCTATAAAAAAAGAACAAAGTCCTGTCATTTGCTGTAACCTGAATGGAATTGGAGAACATTATGAGGAGTGAAACAAGCCAGGTGCAGAAAAACAAACGCCGCGTGTTTTCACTCACTTACAGAAACCAGTAGGTCAACACGATAGAGATACAGAGCGGAATAGTGGCCACTAGAGATAGGGAAGGAGGAAGGAGAGGAGGTACAGAAAGAAATTAAGAGACTTGGAAGCTGTGTTGTGAAGAGGAAGGGAGAGCAGGGGTAGAAAAAGAGGATGTGGACATGATTAGTGCATAACATGTGCATGTATGGAAAGATCAGAATGAATCCTATGAATCTGTCCAGCTAATATGTGTTAACAATTAAAATAATAAGAAGTTAATGTGCAGTTAGCCCTGGATCCTCACATGTTCATATATGAATGTGCTAACAGGACCCACCACAGGTGGCAGGGGTCCCTGGGGCTTGAGCTGTTCCTCCTCTTGAGCTGTTCCTCCTGTGCTTCCTGGTCACCGTGAAATTAGCAGCCGTCCTCCACCGCGCTTTCCCACCGTGATATCTCTGCCTTGGAGCCACCCAGCTCTGGACTACACTCTCTGAAACCCTGAGCCAGATCAAACCTCTCCTCCTGTAAGTGGTAAGTGTTCAATATTTTATCCCAGTGCTGGGGAAGCTCACCATTACAGTTCCCAGCTCTATGTTCTGCTCTGCATGAGTTCTAGGCTTTATTCCTCTTCCACAACTGGGCGTTACAACTGAAACTCTTGGAGAGAAGACAAGTCCCCTGAGCCACCATTTAGCTCACTATCCCCTATCTCTTTAGAGTTCACTGTGGGGCTACACACATATCTCCTTCTTGCCATGTCAATGAGGCATAGTTTTAAGCTATAGCATCAGTTCACAGGCAACAAGCTTAAAGCTCCTGAGCTAGTGGATACAATACCTGGTCTTAGTGCCTGGGTTTTTTAAACAGGGACTCAGAAAGTAGTTTTTTTTCAAGTTTTCACTTAATGGTACCTCAGAAATAAGTACTCATCTCAGTGAATTCCTCAGGAAACAGAACTCTTAAGAAAGACGAGTGCTAAATCCCCAGTACAAGACGCCAGTAGGGAGTCCAGACTTGCAAGAGTCCCTCTGAAACTGTTTATCTCATATTCGAAGAAGTTTCAAAGAGCGCTACGGATTGGCAGTTCCAGGTAGTAGCTGGAACAAGTAAGAACAGAGACCATGACGGGGCGGAGTGGCTTGAGGGTGAGCTGAAAGCAGACCCTTGTCTCAGTCATGAGCCTGACAATTTCAAGTCCCTCAAAGTTGGAGAAAAGCACTGCAGCCTGAAGCGTAGAACCACATGACTTGATCCAGACAAACTGGAAGGAGGACCCTCCCTGCCTCCCCTCCCAGATGTATACCCTCTTCTCACCTGATCCAGTTTGGGCAGAAACTGTTCCTGAGGGGGTCGTTGATATAAATGGTGCGGGGCGTTGGCACTTCCAAGCCTTGCCAGTATCTTTGCCAGTCCATCCTTTCCTCCACCTTCCGACACCCAAGGAAAAACGCACAGATCCTGCAGTGAGAAGGCACGGAGATGTCACTCATGACGCAAGGCAGGCGGGCTCGGGACCCCGGCTCTCCCGGCCTGCAGCTTCTTTCCTGAGCTTCACCTCCTCCAGGACCAGGCGGAAACACATGGGCGGCTGTGCCGGAGGGGCCACCCAGGCTTTCTGCCAGCTTGCGCGACTCCATCACCTCTCCAGCCTAGAGGCTCGGGCTGGGGTAAGGCTCAGGGTGGAGAGCGACCCAAGGTGAGACGGGGCCCAGAGACTCAGACAGAGGACGCCTTGGCCTCCTTCGTGTTCCCCTCACCTTGGCTACACTTTATCCAGGCATGTTTTGCCCTGAGGTAAAGCAGGTACTTTAGAAAACCTGTAGTTACAAATTCATTCTCTATCCCCTTTGAAATGTGTATTCATCTCCTTCAAAGCTTCTTGTTACCTTTAAGATCCGGGGAATGTCTTTTTCCAGAACCCAGGGCATCTCTTTAAAATGTGGACATGAAGAAAGGGAACACCCCATCTCTCAGTGCATATGGGAGGGCCAGGGCCTAAGTTCCAAGGCTGCCTTGGTCCAAAGTATAAAACCACTTCCTGTCCTGAGGACCCTGGAAAGTTCACTTTTCCTCTGAATAAAGCTCATTAGCAAAAGCATGCAACTTGCAGTGCCCTGATCCAATCCAAGTTAGTTTTTCTTTTTCGTTGTTTTTTTTTTTGGGGGGGGGGCAGGTAGTCTTGCTTTATAGTCCAGGCTGCCCTTGAACTCGCAGGATCTTCCTGCCTCAGCCTCCCAAGTGCTGGGATTAGATGTGTGTCCCACTGCACCTGGCCCCATCCAAGTCTTAAAAACTCTTGTCCTTTCTTTCAGCAGAACTGAGCCCATGCACTTCTCCTATTGCAATAGTCTGACTTCCTTGCCTGTTTTACTTTGTTGTAGTTTTTCCTTTGACATGTTGTGACTCAAAAATGCATGAAATTTGGAACAAAACAACCTTTATTTTTTAAAAAGCAATAGAGATAAAAACCAGGAGGGGTATTGTCCTTTATACTCTCAATATGAAGGGATCATCTTTGTACCAGAATCTACGCACCTGAATTTTCTGTTTTGCCAAAGGCCCTAGAGCCCAGGGTTAGTGCACATGCTCAGACCCGTGGGAAAAGGCATTTTCCCACCATTATTGTATGTTCAAGCAGCTGTATCTCTTCATGCATTCCACTAGCAACATGCCCACGCGTGGGTGTACAGGGGAAAGGGTGAGCAAGCGCTGGGCAAGCAGCTTGATCAAAACAAATCAAGCCCTTATCTCCTTACCGCCATTTTCAAGGCTGTCTCTCTCTACCCTCACTCACCTGTCACCCACCTGTCACTCACCTACACAAACATCGGCGTTCAAACACCAGACGCCTCCTCCACCTAAACTCAGCTAGGTGAACGGCCCGTCCTGCAGAGCAGCCCCATTTAAACTGAGAAACAGTGAAGTGAACCAGCGTATAATCTACACAAAAGCAATACAGTCCTTTGCCCAAGAGAGGAGGAGGTGTGAGGAACAGACAAAGGGAATTCCTTCTGCACATCAAAAGAATTAAATATAGAGCAGATGAGAAGGACTCCTTTGAAGGAAATTAAATTCAAGTATTATGAAACGTATATTTAAAGCAACACAAAAAAGAGCCAAAAGAAACACAAAGTCAGGATTTTTTAAGTGATCTAAAAGAGCTCCAAAAATAAAAAAAGAAACAACCAAAGATAAAATAACTCAAGGAAAAGGAAAGTACATTAGAAGCAGCCGAACACAAGACTACTGAAAATTGAGATACGTTGCACAGACTGCAAAGAACTAAGTAAAATGAAATGAAAGAAGCCCAAAAAAGGAAAGGACTGCAGGAGAATAATAGCTGTGCAATAAAAGAAAGATATACAGTGTGTGCATATGTGTAATCCTTGAGGAAGAAACAAAAAAATTAGAATAAATTTTTCGCTGAAGGAAGGCCTGAGTTTAATGAATTTAATGTGATTCAGGGATACCTGATAAAAGTCAATACCAAAGCACTTCTGGTAAAGTTACTAGATTTTAATAATGAAAAAAGACATTATTATAATCACAAAATAATTGAATTTCTTCCATTTTCTGCTGGACAGAAAATAATGGAACCACACTTAGACTTCGGCACTGAAACAATTAAGCTACAGAAATAGATCAAATATCTCACCAAGAGATAAAATAAAATGCGCCTGGCGGGAACCAGGTTTACTCAAGTGCAAAATTAAGACTTAAAATGATAAAAGGTAGATCACCCTTTGGGGACCATATTTCTGTTGAAATGGCTTTACAAAACTAGGTTAAAAAAATTGTTACACTGGGTATGCTGGTACATGCTATAATCTCAGCAAGAGGGAGACTGAGGCAAGAGGATCACGAGTTTGAGGCCAGCCTGTGCTACATAGCAAGTTCAAGGCCAAGATTACATAGCAAGACCCTGTCTCAAAAAACAAAATAAAATTTCTAAAATGCTGTGAATAATGAAGATATCTATCACCAAACCAAAATTTAATCAAAAGAAAAAAATCCAGATGGCTAGGTGAGGAACTCTAAAGCATTTTTTCTCCTGAAGAAATTATCTGCTTTGTACTAAAGTGAACTATAGGAAGGCAGAGCAGACAGAAACCAAAGCGCAAGTCTTTTTTTCTTTTTCTTTTTTTTTTTTTTTTTTTTTTGGTGCTGGGAATCAAACTCAGGACCTTGCGCTTGCAAGGAGCTGCACCACTGAGCTACATCCCCGGCCCCAAAGCTCAAGTCTTGCAATAATGGAGAACCTAAACAAGCCCTGGACAGACACATGCTGTCCAGGAGAGGGAGAGCCAGAGGGCAGCTGGTGAGTTCAGCATTCAGACACCCCACAGAGTCTCCAGGAGAGTGCCTCAGCATCAACCTGAAGGAGGAAAAACAAAAGTGAAAGTGGGAGAAAGGAAGGAAAGAAGGAAATAAAGGGAGGGAGGGAGGAAGGGAAGAAAGAAGGGAGGGAGGGAGGAAGCAAGGAAGGGAGGAAGGAAAGGAGGGAGGGATGAAGCAAGGGAGGCAGGGAGGGAGGAAGGAAGGGAGGGAGGGAGGGAGGAAGGGAGGAAGGGAGGTATAGTGGATTGATAACTGGTGGTCAACTTGTAACCACTCACTCAACTTGAGTGAGTGGTGCCGGGTGTGGGAGGCCCACCTGAGGACTGTTGCCAGCAGCATAAGAGGCAGACCTGGAGAAGAAGAAGCAGGCTGTTGGGAGCTGAGAGAGGCTGTGGGGAGCTAACTTTCCTGATGAACTTGTCTGTTTTCATCCTCCGAGGAGCTCGGGACCTCACTGGCGCTGAGAATGGCTTCAGTTCACTTTGGAGAGCTCTGGTCCTCACTTTGAGCATAGCTTCCTGGTTCCGGAGGGGAAGATGGTGCATTGCCAGCCTCCTGGAAAAGCTTGCTGCATTGGCTTCCCTGATGGGAACTCGGCCATCCTGATCATCGGAGGAGCTCAGGACCTCACCGTTGCCGAGGATGGCTGTGGTGCCTTTTGGGGGAGCTCTGGTTCTTCTGAGCATCACTTCCTAGCTCCAGTGCAGATCCCTCAGCCTGCTAGCACAGGTCCTTCATCCTGCCACCACTGACCTTTGGGCCTTTCCAGCAGATCCGTGAAACAGGTCTGCATGAGACGTTGTCATGGGTTCTGGGCCTCCAGTTGGATTCATGGAAGGCATTGTTATGAGCTCTGGGTATTCAGCTCAACTCATGTAGGACATTATTGTGGGATCCAGGCCCTCAGCTGGATTCCTTGGTCTTAGTGTGTGGACAGATTTCCTGCACTCTTTTGTATACTGTTCTTTGGGTGACTATTATAAATAATCATGTAAAGTATGTGTCCTGTATTATATTGTTCCCCTTGCAAAAGAAGTCCCAAACTAACACAGGAGGGAAGAAGGAAGGAGGGAGGGAGGAAGGGAGAGAGGGTGGAAGGGAGGGAGGGAGAGAGGAGGGAGGGAGGGAAGAAGGAAAGAAAGAAGGGAGGGAGGGAGGAAGGGAGGAAGGAAAGAAAAAAGGAAGGGAGGGAGGGAGGGAGGAAGGGAAGAAGGGCAGAAGGAAATAAGAAGGGAGGAAAGGAGGAAGGGAAGGAGGAGGGGTGGGAGGGGGAAGGGAAAACGATCATACTTACTATGTCACAAAAATAAAACACAGGATTTGAACACCAATAAAGAGAAACTGTGAAAGGTGATCCAGAAGATTTGAAAAAGCACCAAATAAAACCCCTAGAAATAGAAGGGAAGTCATAGACAAAGTCAAAAACTAAATGAACAAGTTTAGCAGTAGATAGAGTGCTACTGAAATGAAAAATAATGAAATTAAATATAGATAAGAAAAATTCAAAATTACAGCAGGAAGAAGCAAAGATGTGTAATATTCATAAAAGAGTTGAAGAGGCCAAATGAATAAAGTGAGGTGATCTAACAAAGAATTAGCTAGAACTCTGGAAGATGAACACTCTACCAGTGAGTTGTATGCCAGCCCTGAGAAAAATCTTAGAAGTAGTTGGGTCAGAGGTGGCAGGGGATAATTATAAAGAGAATGGACGTGGTCTGACACTAGGTTATCTTCTCAACAGCAGAAAAAAATGAGTATCCTTGAATATTATTGAGTATTATTGAATATTACAGAAAATTAATGACCAGTCCTTTTTCTTTTTCTTTTTTTTTTTTTTTAATGATGAAGCATCCTAGCTTTTCTGGGATAAATACCACTTGGTCATGATTAGTTTCTTAGGGATAGGAAAATACCACACAGTGGATGGCTTACAGCAATAAGCACTTCCTGCTTCATAGTTGTTGAGATCAGAAGACTGGAATCAAGGCATTGTCAGTGCCATGTGCCAGCAGCATCTATACAGGAAGGTCCTTCTGTCCCCCTTCCAGCTTCTAGAGCTCCAGGCATTCCTTCACAGGTGGCAGCAAAACTCTGCGTCCACCTTCACATAGTATTCTGTC